AAGGCTCGTCCGTGAAGACCTGCTCGCAGGTGAGAGGTTCTGTTGAGAGTCTGAGTCCTGAGACGTCTCTGCGTTGTAGATGGCCTGCGCGGAATGCTCTTCATTAGCCTCATCATCAGATGACGATGTATCTCGGTCGGATGAATGTCTCTTCCTTCGCGCAGGCTCGTTGACGTCCTGTAGAGTAGATACGTGAGTGCTGCATTCTCTTCCTTAGAGGGTGACGTCTGTATCAGATCCACTGTTATGAGATCGTTGATCGTCCTTCGCTGGGGATCTGCGTGGTGATCTGCGTGGAGATCTGGGTGGAGATGAACCTGTTGAGCTGCGTCTATAGGGCGATCTGTGCGGCAACCTGTGTGGAGGTGAGCGTCTCTAGGTTTGTGAATGCCTCGGTGGAGAGTCCCGTTGAGGTCCTTGAGGCTAAGTCTGATGACCTTCGCGAAGGTGAGAGATCTTGATGAGGGTCCGAGTCCCGAGACGTCTCTCTGGTCCTAGGTTCCTTCCTCTGTGAAGTGGGTAGCCTTCGTGAAGGTTCTTCATCTGCCTCATCCTCTGAAGACGAGCGTGCCGTCCTGCACGCAGGTTGATATCATGTAGCGTAGATCTGCTCTTGATCCTGGAGCTAGCTTCGCTGGAGGGCCTCTCCGATGTATCGTCAGTGTTTGGTCCTTCGTGCAGGTCCAGGTCCTCTCTGCGGGTGATGACTTGAGCATGAGAGCCCTGTGGCTGTCCATCATGCGATGCTCTTTCCTGCGGGAAGCGCTTCTCCATCATCTCCATTATCTGCTGAGAGAACTGCTGCATGAAGGCCCCGGGTTGAACGTCTGCGATGATTGTAGAGCTGCCCTCTCTGCACTGGTAGCGATATGGTCCAGGGATCGCTCATCTGCCGCCAGTGTAGATGGTAACTCGGACTGCATAGATAGATCTGCTGACGTCACCGTTGCTGACGCCTGCTTCTTTTCTTATGCTGTATCTCTGGGATAATCAGCAGCGGCTCATCATAAAGTAATCTCTCTTCAATCGGGACGATCTCGGCCGAAAAGGTCCTCGTAGTCTGCGCAGAAGTCCCCGTAGAGCTCCTAGACTTCTTAGGGGTGTGAGGCTTTTTTCTGTGTAGAGGATGGCTTTCGTCTGCATTGAAGGGTTGTCCGATGCAGAAGCCCTCTTCTTCAAAGTAATGGCGGACAACATCCCACGCCCATCCTCCGAGGACACCTCCGGCAGGTCACTGGATGGAAGTAAATCGTCTGACAGCGGTAGACAGCTCGTGAGGGACTCAGCCGGTTATCCATGACTTGTAAAAGTCGTCTGGATTGTCGCTAGCACGTGTAAGTACAGAGAAATGATATTTATTAAATTCCTGTTAAATGCTGACAAAGTTTACAGCGACAGCTGGAAGTACATGTTGTTGTGCAGCTAGGGCACAATAAATGCGGGTCTGCAGCAGAGAACCTAAACCTACAACGAAAACAGGTTTCAATGAAATGTAAACAACTGAACAATCACGTATAAAACCGTGAATAAACAGTCAAAATACGAATAAATTTCAAACCATATTGTTGAAGGATACTCCCTAAACCCCTATAAAGGTAATATATAGGGTCATAACTAATTAATTAAAGGATATAGTGTCGTATTGGAGACACAGGTGCTCTCCCAACCGTCCACTAGGGCGAAGAAGGAGAGAGTGAAGCGTGGGAAGACGGGTGGCGCCGTTTTCCCGCCAAAACGGCGAGGGAGATAACTCGTGGTGAGTAGTGATTTTACATCTGTTTTATTGAAGGGAGCTTCAATAAGGAGATACAAGTGTTCCACTAACGTTCGGGAAGGAAAGGAGACAAGCAAAAATACATGAGTCAGGATAAGGAAAAATAGATACTTTTCTTTCTAGCAACAAATATGTCGCAACGAATATGTCTAGGCATCCTACTTTCTCTCCACTAATTAATCTCATTAAAGGGCAAGTGTACACGAAAATTAACCTTTTTGTCTTGCACGTTTTCTTCATAAAAAGTGTTTATCAAGTCGTTTTATATCCAAACCCGTACATAAATCAGAAGTAACTAATTTATTATTTGCGTTATATCAATTCATCTTTTCAACATTTACCAAGAGTTCGATGTCCACAATAAACACACCATGGCTTATGTCCCTTGGAAATGACGTCATTGGTGCCCAAACGATAAACGAATGACGTCGTCAGACTTTATTAGACCCATTTCACGTGGTGCAGGTATAGGTGTGGTTCTTGTGTCTCGATGCGCAGGCTACTGTTTTAATCCACCTGTTGCTTGGCCGTCAGCTTGCTATGTGGTCAGTTCTACACTGTAATGACGTTGCAGTTTGAAAAAACGTATAACATATACAACCTGAGTCTTTCCAACAGTACCTTTTTTCATGAAACCTATAAAACGTAGATCCACTACATCTTGCTTGCCATCGGTGAATATGCCGGCATTCTACGTTTGTTACTAAAGTTCTTACATAAATCGTAAGATATGTCACTCCTCTTCCACCTAATTCACTTTTATATCGATAGTACTCTACATCACGCAGATAAATGCAATTTGCAGTTTTGAACACTGTTTGAAATTCGTTTTTCTATGATAGCATCCGCTGATTGTAGATAAAATTTACTGAAAATTACATGCATCGTAAATCTCGCCAGTTTTGGCACATTACTAAATCAATGATTCACTGCGTTTTCGTAATTTATGGTAAAATGTCAAATTTTACTGGGAGAATTGAATTTAAAAGAAAAAGATGTATCATTGTGATCAGCAGTAGTTTTGTTGTTGTATGATCGAATCACCAATGCTCGCTCTGAAACATTATCAATGAACCGAGAATCGCTGAGAATGTTTTGGAAAATACATAAGCGCCAAAGTGAAGTTTCAGCCATATTACATAGTGTTTATAAAATCACGTCACATGTATGTCGGTTATGTTTCGATCCATAAAATTCAACACCATCTTCCTTACATGAATCCCTGAATTCCTCATACAGTTCAAAATAAACTGACAAATGGACTTTGTCACCAATACGAAAGTGTTTCAGTGAAATCTAACGAAATATATCGAAGATATGAGTTGCAGCTGTGAAAGAATACTTGTTTGAAAAGTATACAAAGCCAATCTCAGATTTTACACTGTGTATCCGTTAAGCCTACTTGTTGCATACAATTGCTCATTAGTTTTAGAACATGCATGGGAAAGGTATCGTAGCAAGCGATAGTTAAATAAAACAGGTGTATGCCAATGATTTTCTAGATTCATCACAACATATTATAGTTTTTGAAAGCATGACGCCATAACTGACGCAAAACTCACGCTGCAACGATGACGGTACTTCTCTTAATTTCTGACTATTTCCCTTGGTCACAATGAAAACAAAAGAAAATAACAACCAGCAGACTGTCAGAAGTTTCGACTACTTACATGTCACATTTATGCATATCGTTGCTTGAAACAACGAAAATGTCCTTTCAAAACTTCGTGTCAGTGAACACGCCATTTTGCAAAAGTCGCTTCCCGATAGTGATGTCATAATGACGTCAACATTGTTATACATATTTGGTATTTTCATTGAGGCGAGGTTATGAATGAAAATACACACGACCAATCCGTCCTGCTGCTTACATTTTCTGTTCTTATGCTTCTTCGTATTTTCACTTAACTTTTTTCAAGTGATTAATATCAGTATTATTATCTTTTGATTTGGGACTAGACAGGAGACCAGTTTAAATTCAAGTGGCACCAATTACGTCATAATCAAAGGGCGGTAACTCTGGCCTGTTTAGCTCGGCAAAAAAATACCTCATATTGGCATAACATTTCAGCACTTATTTTGAGGGTTATACTTACGTTGTAAGAAAAATGAGTGTATATTTTCAAACATTGGTATTAACTTATTAAAACAGTTCACTTTGATTCACATAAGAATAAATGTGATTTATTCGTGTACACTTGCCCTTTAAGGGGCAGATCCAATAGATTTTGAAAACTACAATATACATTTGTACATACATTTTTTGATGTTACACTTTGGAACATGTGTTATGTTGTGTTCAGATAAACTGTAACTGCTTGTTCACCAACTCCTAATCCCTATTCACTCAATGAATAGAATTATGTTCACATCAAATACTGGATTTATGACAATGATGTAATAGAAGTAGAGGATTCGTAAGAATTACATGTTTTGTTTTTACTGCTGTACCCAGCAGTATTCCACCTATAATAGGTCTGCTTGAAAATCATCAAGTCTGTAAAAAGAAATCCAATGAACATATTGTGAGCAACAACCCATAACATAATGGGTCTGATGAGCCTGATTATCAGATACATTTATTTGTAACACATCAATGTCTTTAATGTTATAAAAACAGTCATGCTAATTTTGAGGTAATTTTCACGGGGGTACCTCACTGTGCCCCCTGCCTTTGTTTCAGGGTGTGAAACAGTCATCCGTGGTTAACTAATTGACAATGGGGGCTTAACAAGGGATTAAGTACAGCCTGTTCTGAAATTTACTGAACCACAGCATATAACATTCACACATGATACATGAAACATGATATTCGCATTTACATCACCATTTCACTTATACACTAACAAATTGAACAATGCATGTATACCTGAGAATGACAGGGAGTTGGTTTATATAGGATTCACTATAACGGAGAACCCAATCTTACTATGAGTTTCAATCATTTAATTACTTACATGATATCAACTCACTTATATATTCTACAAAATAATTTGATTTGTTTATTAAACTTAATTCACTGTCACTAATTAGCTGCTGGGGCTCCGAGCCAGTTAATACCTGTCGCAACACGCCCCCACTAAATCCCTTGTCATAACATATAGCTGGGGGGCACAGTGAGGTTAAACCCATTTTCACGACGTTTACAAACACTGGCAACAGACAACCAGACTATGCCATGAGCTCACATGACTTTCAGCTATGTAAACTAAAATGTTAGATGTACCTGTCGGATGAAAAAGTCTTTCCTCAAAGTAGATGCTGCTCCAAAGTGAGTAAAGCGGAACATTTCATCCATAATCCACATGAGTGTTCCACCAACTCTGTGCCTGCCATGTAGTGATGCCATTAGGGATGGTACATCTCCTGTAGACTGGTGGTTCGCCAGGAGTAATGCTTCCTTGTCATATAGTACACTGAGCTCATCTCCACTCTCTACAACTAGATAAACAGAATGACATAGTACAATAGTACTGAAGCTCACCATCACCTGGACGTTGTCAACACTACAACGACAGGTCCTATGCAGCAATGAAAATGATTGCAACTCTTTAGTTTCCTTGCTTACAAACATTTCAAGTATGATTTTTTAAAATGTTGAATTAGAAAGTTAATATCCATATGATCATTTGAGAATTAACCTTAATTGAAAACTACCGGTAACATAAAATTTGTTCAGTATTTTTTTTTTCCAAATGTTTCATCGGCATTCTAGAAGTCGAGAGTTCGTAACAAAGCATACTACTTTATGGATTACAAATTCTTGTTTATTGCATAGATCAGTGTATCTCAAGCCTGGATCACCCACTTGACACCATCCATTCCACAGACTCCATCATCAGCCTTACTATATCATGCATAACATCCACCTACTTCATCACACTCTCCATGGGATCCCCTCTTTCCATCAGCCTTACACAAATCTAGTTGATTCATTTTGTAGAAGCTCTCTCTCCACATCCCCAATCTAACGTGCTTACTTCAATTTGTTTATTCAGCATGTGTGGTCTCTGTCCCTTATACAGCAGCAGGTTGAAACTTTCAATTTACAAAATTTGACGTCGCAGACGTAGTGCATAATGAACATAAAATTGTAGCTTAAAGTACTGTTGGATATAGACAAAAAAACTGTTTTTAAGCTGTTACTCTGTATCCCTAAAATTTACACAAATGCAAATAGCATATGTCGAAATAACCCATATTGGCCTAACTGGGCGATCGATGGGATGAGTAATAGGATATCCAAAAAACAATATTTACTCGTAAAATCAGGCAAAACTTAGACAAACTATGAATAGCTGCTCAAAACAATAGATCAGACTATGGATGGCAATTAGGTCGCCCAGCCAGGTATGACGGACCGTCGACACACCTGGCATGAAATGCATTTGCTGCCTACAGGCACAAGGGGTCATCTCAAAGATATTTTATGCTTTTTCGTGTGTGGAATATGTCTCATATGTTGATTAACATCTTACGTGTCTTTCTTTCTTAAGGTTTATGTTGAGATACATAAATGAGTATGATACCCATAGAAAAGCTTAAATCAGCCATCGTATTAAATGTCTCAAAATATATAGGTGGCGCGACCACCCGAAGATCGACAGAACTGAATATTATTTGTAAATTGTTATGACATGCTGTTTACTTTCCCAGGTTAATTCCCCTAAAGGATTATCTAATCTTAGCTGATATCTCTATCCCCCCAGCCTGAAACCCAACCACTGTCTGCCACACCCTTCCTGGTTTTACTTTTGAGACGACCCCTCCTACTTGATTGTTTTTATAGTGATAGTGAGACTCAATGGTAGCTACATCCTTAATAGTTTCGGCATTAAAATTATTATTTTTTTACAACAGCTATTGTTTATAATGAAGCTAAGTCTACTTTAAAAATGGGCATTTAAAAAGTGCCCTTTGTAACACAATATCATCGCACACTAATTTGCATAAAGCCATGGTCTGTTCCAAATAAGTCGCTTTGGACTTTGAAAAAAAACACGCATTGCTCATTTCTGCACTAATCTCTCCTTAGTAAAGTCCTTTTATAAAGTTTCCTATCCCACTACCACTGAGACTGTAGTTAGGCTGAACTTTGTTTAACAGATATTTCACACTTTCACATGTTAACTACATAAACTGTAGTTATAAATGTGAAAAAAAAGTTTTTTCTATTTCCGACAGTACTTTAATAATAACATTTGTATCATTAGATGCCATTAGGTTGATAAAACTAGTTTGTATATTATAGGACGTACAGACAAATGGCAGGTATTTAGATCTTAAAGGTCACATGCAACCAAAAAATCAAACATAATTAAAACACAATTATCACTTATTCATGACATATAATATACATTGCTGGTTATGAAAAACATATAAACAAAATTATAAGCGTACAATCGCAAATCAAAAGTGCAATATTGTGTACTTGGGTTTACTTCCCAAGAAACGAAGCAGCCGGGATACCGAACCCAGTCAGAGCGGGTGGGTGTGCACTCAAGTGTAACGGCTGGTTCATTTGCAGATGCCCTCACGTCTCATTGTGTGTGTATATATAGAGATGTTGGGTTTTGTAAATACATGCTCATTTTTTGTGTATAACATTTTGCAATCAACAGATATCATAACATGTCATGTGTTCAAATATCACACCTGCCTGTCTGTGTAATTACATAATGTGACAGAGACTGAACTCGGGCCATAAATCAATGCGGTTTGTTTATGGTGTATAGCCTGATTGGTGTTAAGTTCAAATTGCATGTGGTCAGTGATCGAAGTTGTGTATTGAATATTTTCATTAGCAGACAGGCAGACACACAGGTGTCAATAAAACAAGACATTGAGTTTTGTCTGTGACAACGACATATCTATATCACAGTTAGAAATTCTGTCAACGCTAAATAATGACATTGCTTTTAAGTATCGAACTGAGAAAGTGACTCGGTAAGAACGTGTGGTGAAATAGACAAATGAAATTATATAAACAGTTTATTTACTGTCATAACATATAAAAAGTTCGCGCCTGTGAGATATCAACAAAACATTAGGAAAATAGCTCACACCAAAGCCTTCACCGAGTATTCACCGAACAGCCCGCTTCCAAGTTGCGCGAACCTATTTCACTGCGCACATGCTATGAGCGCAGCCCAGCTGTTGAAACCAGTTAGTGAATCGTTTGAACTCCGATTTTGCGCGGTTTTCTTCATCGCGTTATTTTTCAACTTTATAAGTTGAATTTGCATTTTTGATGATTTGTTTCGGTAAGTCCATACCGAAAGGTATCAGAATCTGCAAAGTTGTGTTTTACGTTGCATGTGACCTTTAAGCTTTTGTCATCCTCAGAAAAGATGAGGACCTCAACTCACTACTCCAGCACCTCAACACCCAACATCCCTGTATCAAGTTCACCATGGATACAGAGAGTAATTACAAACTCCCTGTCCGATATGTCCTTGAATCAAGAGATGCAAGCAAAAAGATAAAAACATCCAGTTTACAGAAAACCCACCCATTATGACCAGTATATCTATTTTGACACAAATTATCTCCTGAAAACTCATCTCAATCATAACGAAGTGCTCAAAGAATATCTAACAGCTCTTAACAGCCATTACCTATAATCTGAGCTTTATCACATGCAACACATCTTGACAAACTACAACCAGTATTACACCAAGTTAGTCAAGAGGAACATTTTGACCACATTCCAGCAAAAACCCAAACTGACCAAGCCTGATTTTGCCCCCATCAGAATTACTCTGCACTACATGGGTAAGACCTCTGATTAAATCAGCAGACAACTTCAGCACCAAGCAAGCATCGACGCCATTTTCACTCGCTCCCCATCCCTCAGCACCATCCTCCAAGCTAATGGCCAAAACATGATAAGTGTCATGTAGCTACGAGCACTAGCTTCCTCAGGTTTTACAGTGGACTTGCAAACCTGGAGATAGGTGTCATATTAGCTTCAAGGGTTAGTGTCATGAAGTTTTACAGTGGATGTGAAGGCACATGTCATGTAGCCTCGAGCATTAGTGTCATTGGGTTTTACAGTGGATGTGAAGGCAATTTCATGTAGCTACAAGCATTAGTTATTGGGTTTTAAGGTGTAAGTGAAGACAGGTGTCATGTAGCCTCGAGCATTAGTGTCATTGGGTTTCACAGTGTATGTAAAGGCAATTGCATGTAGTTACAAGCATTAGAGTCATTGGGTTTTACAGTGGATGTGAAGACAGGTGTCATATAGCCTCAATCATTAGTGTCATTGGGTTTTACAGTGGATGTGAAGGCAGGTGTCATGTAGCCTCGAACATTAGAGTCATTGGGTTTTACAGTGGATGTGAAGGCAATTGCATGTTGCTAAATGCATTAGTTATTGGGTTTTACAGTGGATGTGAAGGCAATTTCATGTAGCTACAAGCATATGAGTTATTGGGTTTTACAGTGTACGTAGAGACAGGTGTCATGTAGCCTCGAGCATTAGTGTCATTGGGTTTCACAGTAGATGTGAAGGCAATTGCATGTAGCTACAAGCATTAGAGTCATTGGGTTTTACAGTGGATGTGAAGACAGGTGTCATATAGCCTCAATCATTAGTGTCATTGGGTTTTACAGTGGATGTGAAGGCAGGTGTCATGTAGCCTCGAACATTAGAGTCATTGGGTTTTACAGTGGATGTGTAGACAGGTGTCATTTTGCCTCGAGCATTAGAGTCATTGGGTTTTACAGTGTACGTGAAGACAGGTGTCATGTAGCCTCAAGCATTTGAGTCATTGGGTTTTACAGTGTACGTGAAGACAGGTGTCATGTAGCCTCAAGCATTAGAGTCATTGGGTTTTACAGTGTACGTGAAGGCAGGTGTCATATAGCCTCGAGCATTAGTCATTGGGTTTTACAGTGTATGTGAAGACAGGTGACATGTAGCTACAAGCATTAGAGTCATTGGGTTTTACACTGTACGTGAAGACAGGTGTCATATAGCCTCGATCATTAGTGTCATTGGGTTTTACAGTGTATGTGAAGACAGGTGTCATGTAGCTACAAGCATTAGAGTCATTGGGTTTTACACTGTACGTGAAGACAGGTGTCATATAGCCTCGATCATTAGTGTCATTGGGTTTTACAGTGTACGTGAAGACAGGTGTCATATAGCCTCAAGCATTAGAGTCATTGGGTTTTACAGTGTATGTGAAGACAGGTGTCATGTAGCTACAAGCATTAGAGTCATTGGGTTTTACACTGTACGCGAAGACAGGTGTCATATAGCCTCGATCATTAGTGTCATTGGGTTTTACAGTGTACGTGAAGGCAGGTGTCATATAGCCTCGAGCATTAGTCATTGGGTTTTACAGTGTATGTGAAGACAGGTGTCATGTAGCTACAAGCATTAGAGTCATTGGGTTTTACACTGTACGTAAAGACAGGTGTCATATAGCCTC